ATGATACATTGGACCGGTCATTAAATTACATATTATGAAATGGACAAGTTTAATAGTATGATAACCAATGTTTAACATAATTTAAATATATTGTACCGTCTCTAAAATTTCAGATATTGATTTTTAATGATGAAAATTAAGGATGTGTTCTATTCACTGATTTTCACTATCTGAACTTATTAAAACTTATCTGATATTATCTGAATTTATATTAATCTATCTGATCTTATCTGAACTTATTAGCCCTTTAGTTATAAATTAAACTTGGGTAGTCCTAATTAACCTTATCACAACTTATCTGAATTTATTTTTCCTAAACTTATCTTATCTGAACTTATCTTAACTTATTTAATGGGGAACGACTCTAAGTTAAACAAACTCAATTCTAAAATAAGCTTAAATTTTGAAAACCGAGCAATAGAGACTAAGGGTAGAAACTCACCACGGCATAATTGTCATCACCATAGAAAGAAGAAGATAAGCGCCCCAAACTTGGTACAAACTGCCCATTTTTGTCGCTTGAAGAATAATACAAGACCAAAAATGCAATTCCAAGCGTCGAAAATACCAATAAACTCTTCAAAATCCTAGCAAAATCTAAAGGCTTTGTTGATGATGATGAATAATCATCAACCTTCACGGCCACCGTCGTCGTCGTAATCTCTCCCATGATTGGGCTACGCTCATCACTAATCTTTCCTTCTTCCATAACTCTTCTTGTACGTAATAAAACCACACTAGGACAATTTTATGCTTTCACTAGATGGTTGATTAACCAACACATAACCCTGCCTTGGTTTAAATAAATAAAGTTTTGAGTTAATTAATTATAAGAAGATAATAAGCTAAGAAAAAATATCAATAAAGGGAATCATGCACTAAAAACATGCCAAAGCATATGGAATATTTGAGAGAGGATAAACAAAATTCAAAGTAACGTTAAATATTATGTGTACTTAATATATATAGTATAGTTTGTACTGTAGGTGTATATGAAAAGGTCAAGTCTAGCTAAAATATTGCTGGTCATATTGGACCAGTTTTAGTTCTACAATATTGAACACGTCATTTTAATAGTTTCCTGATAAATTCTTTTGTTTTTCCTAGTAGCCTTTGCAATATGATTTTTTTAGTCGACTCTTATAGTTGTCATTAAAAAAAATTCTATAAATATATATGGGACCTAGGACATGTTCACATTTACTGATCTGAAGAGAGGGAATTAGGAGTTGAAATGAACTGAAAAGAAATTAATTAAATGTGAATAGATCCTAAAAAATAAATTTTTGAAAAAAGTATTGTTTTATTAATGATTCTTATAATTTAATTAATTTCATTATATATATTGTATTGGTTCATATCCTCAGTAATTTTAAATTTTAAAGTATTTTATTGGTTTATGAATTATGACGGCGTAATTTGATATACAATGAAGGATTCATGTATAACTGAAACGATAACAACATCAAACTCTTTTTTTATTGTGTGTGAATTAAACCAAATAGTAATGTCGGTATTGGTAGTGTACTTAATTTCTCATCAAACTTTAGGAGAAAATCCAATTTATTATACAAATGTTATATAATTGATGAGAGAAAAGCATATTATGCAAAAGGTATGAAGATGAGATCAAATTATAGTTACAAAGTAGTAAAAAATTGAGATAAGATTATATTTACAAAGTATAATTTACATCATTCACACCAATCACACACACACGCTCTTTAGAAATTTTTTTATTATCATATATGATTTATCATGTATATACTTTCAATAAGTAGTTTTTTTATATCACCTCCAAGACTTTAATCGTACATTAGGTGATTACTGATTAGGTATGAGAGGGAAAAGGTTAAACGGTAAATTGTTTTGAAAGAGAGAGTATATAAAAGTGATGGGGATCGGATGACAATGAAAAGAAAAGTGTGAAGAAGTGCGCATTGAAAAGGAAACTTGAAATGTAAATTTCTTTGAAAATATATAAAAGAGTGAAGTTAATTTTAATGATTATATGTTTGGAAATATTAATATATATGGTCATACTCATACGTTGATATTTTGGGGTATTATTGATAGCCCTAAAATTTCTTTTATGGGGTCCATCATCCATGGTATGCTTATTCCTTTTTGCTATTTTAGTCGATTATTCATAAATGACACATCAATTTATTTTGCAACTTGGAGTACGACTACAATGCAGTCGGTAGGTAGTGCTATTTCTAATTTTCTAGGCCTACCTCTTGCTATTATGGCTATTTAGTGTTGGAATACGATGCAGATCCATATCTATCACTCCTACACAACTTGCATGCACAAGTTTTTACCCCATATATCAAACTTTTAAAGAAAAATAATGTTACTTAAGGAAAACAAATTAAGCTTATCGTTGAATTCAGGATCAGTTTATATATATATGTGTAAGAAGACCGTCTCAACTAAAAGGTTTAGCTGATGGTTGAAGCCAGGAATATGTTTTATACTCTATCTCGCTCCCTCACATAAGAGCTCTTTGGTCTTGAAAGGCATACCCTGCGCGAAATATATATTCCACTTGAAAGTAGGGGTGGATGAGATTTTAACTTGCGACTTTTGACACGCTACCTCTGATACTCATGTTAAAGGACTAATTTAAGCTTATGATTGAGGCTCTATAATATTTTTTGTACTCTATCATTATGATAGTAGGATGGAAAAAGACATAAGACAAGGATAAAGAGCATTCCACTTAGTCGCTTAAATTAGGTTCTAAGTATACATACAGTTTTTCTAATGAACATTCAAACTTACCAAAATAGGAATTTAATTAGAATTTTCGTCATACATTATTATCCATCGTTTGGAATCATGAAACTAACATATACACAGTCATTCGTCAATATAATAGACCCTTTGTTTGTTCTATTTTGTCATTCTATGCGTGTATGCCATTATTTGACTATATATATGCCTTGTACAATACTCCATAAATGATCAACATAATTAAAACTATATAAAGAACATCAAGGTTCAAATAACATACAAAAACAAAATTGTTCCTAGTTTGGATTTTTCTTGTGAGTTTATCGTCACCGTTTAAATAGGCAGAACTTTCAAAGACAGAATGAGTAGTATTCGCTGATTGAAATCCAAAGCAACAATTAATAAATACATAAAAAATAAAATAAATAAACTCACCATAATAAAGTAGTCTTTCCCCTTGATTCTTTCATCTGCCTGAGTTCATATTTATTTGAATATTTGATAATGGTTGTTTGGGCTCTAAGTTCTAGTATGGTAAAATATATACAATCTAGAAAGGATAAAATATTTTGGAAAATATTTTTGTAGAAAATATGTTTCTTTTTTAGTTGCCAAACGCCAATAATAGAGTATCTATATGATTCATTTTATCTGTATTATTAGTATTATTATTCAGCAACTTGCATGAATAAATGACTACAAATTAAATAATAACCACACGTTCCTCCAATCAGTATACTGTATACCAGTAGATCAGCAGAATTTCTTTGACTATTATTCGTAAGTACGTAGTCACTACTTTGTTAATGGGATTTCTAATTCCTTGATTGATTGCATTCGTTGTTTCAAATCATAGATAATCGTATTCTTATCAAGGGTCTTGATTCTAAGTGAGTGAGAGAGAGTAGGGAGAGAGAGTAGTGAGAGTACGTCACTACTCACCAACTAGCTAGTGTAACGTATTACGTATTATGCCCATGGACATAACACGTAAGGTAACCTTTTAATAACCTTGTTCTTTTGAGCTTCTGACAAAACAAAGCAAAATAGGTGCATGTCAACAAAATAAAGTAACTAATTTATACTCCGTAAAGTATAGTAGACCACAACAGTCAAAAGAACAGGGTCCTACCCGACTCAAGGCCATCTATGAGGGCGTGTAAAGTGATCGACTGCATAGGGTTCTCAATTAATTCATAAGGGTCTCAAAATTTGACATATAATGATAATTGTGTGTTTATTAATAAAATTAACACATTGTTCTATCTATTTTTTTACTTTAGGTACTTTTAATTTTATTAAAAGTATTTATTTATATTAACAGCATTGACACATTATTGTTCTATCTATATCTACATTTTTATAAGTATGAAGCAATGCATGATAGGATTATACTCACTCTGCTTTTTTAAGTACCATTTTGATTTTTTGCATTATAAATTCAAAAAAAAAATAATCTTTGTTTAGTCTTAGGGCCTGTTTTCATTGACTGGACTTAGGGCCTGTTCACATTTACTTAATTTTAGTTCAATTCATTTCAGCTTCAATCAGTTCAGTTCAGTTCAGCTCCTAATTTCCCTCTCTCATAAAATAATAATTTTAGCTCACTTCAGTTCAGCTCCAAACAGTTCAGTTCAGTTCAGTAAATGTGAACAGGCTCTCAGCTGAACTAAACTGAACTGAATTTATTAGAGCTGAACTAAAATGAATATTTTATAAGAGAAGGAAATTAGGAGTTGAACTAAACAGAACAGAAGATAATCGTATGAGAACATACTCTTAGTGATACACTGATACATATACATAAGAAGAAAAAAAAAAATAGTCATGTACTCATATGGTCATTTGTTGGAATCACCATAATATACAATTTTCAAATATCAAGTTTAAATTCTTATAATTTATATTTATTTATAATTTTACATAATGCCGGTCAATGTTCTACAATAACATACATACGTCTTTAGTCAAATTAATTAAGTTACTTAGGGCATGTTCACATTTACTGAACTAAGCTGATTTGAACGGAACTTAATTAATTGGAGCTAAAATGAACTGAACTGATTGGAGCTGAACTGAACTGAACTGAAATGAATATTTTATGAGAGAGGGAAATTAAGAGCTGAACTGAACTGAACTGAACTGATTGGAGCTAAACTGAACTGAATTGAAATGATTGGAGTTATGAATTGAACTGAACTGATTAGAGCTGAACTGAATTGAACCAAAATTAAGTAAATGTGAACATGTCCTTATACTCCGTATGACTGTATATAGTAAATATAGAGAGTATTTAAAAAATTAGCACGGGCCTCCAACATATTTTGGACGCGGTCTAGCCCTACCAACCAGTTGTATACGCTAAACTAGAATGTGACCTGTAGGTCAAGTTCTCCTAGTCCCCCTAGATATTGACTCTAGTTATTTGACCCTAGTGTGGAAATTTATAAGTTGATTTTTAAAAAAAAAAATAGAATTACAAACAAAATATTAGGACCACATGAAATAGTGATGGATTTGGTAGATGAATAGATGATTAAAGTTAATTCCTTAGACTCGTAGAGTGGAAATGAAAAAAAAAAGTAACTTTATTTGTTAAAGGAAGCCTAATGATTATTTTGAATTGTCTATTTAATTTATACAACAACAAATATATAAATATAGACAAAACAAGCAAATTATTCATTTAATTATTAATAACAACTACAAATACTAAACTCTCACCTTAACACAAGTTCTTGAAGTCAATTCCAATGTGTTAACATCTAAAAGTTAATTGAAGAATATCACATATGACATTGATTTGGAACCCTCCAATTAGTAGGGATCGAATGATTTGAGGACATGTAATTCTTCCAAACCTCAAGTGTAGTGTTTAGGTCAGCTATTTTCCTATCCAACCCAGTACAACAATTAGCATGCATTGTGCAAACCTTGTTGAAATCTCTGCTCATTTGGCAAAACCCACCAAAATAATTTGTATCTAAAAACCTAAATTTCACCCCAAGCTTTCTCACGTATGTACCGTTTTTAATCTTACTGAAAACATCTTGCTCGTGTAGTGTAGGAGGATATGCGTGTCTTGAAGAAACCCAAAATTTGTAGAATTTGATTGTGCGAGTGTTAGATCTTACGAAAAGAAAACCGTTGTTTGAAGGGTTTTGTATGTCGAATTGCCTGCCATTGAATCGATCACATGAGGTCTGGAAGTCTGAATCTGGGGTGAAATGTGGAAATGGATTTCGAAACCACATAATATCTGTATCCTGTGAAATAAACAGTATAAATTATAATTACTTAATTAAATGTGATTGATCCAACAAAAGAGTTTAAAGTGCTACATAAAAATTGTTATTCATTAATTTATTTTGGACTATATATAAGCAGCTAAGCAAATTGCTCATTTTGAGTTTTTCAGTTTTCTCTTTATCTGTTTTTGTTTTTTTTTTTTCATTTTTTTCGGTTTTTTTTCATTTTTTTTTTTAAACTACAATTTAGATTTTTTTTTTTAAACATAACAAAATGTTCTTACGACATACATATGAGAATGAAAATAAAAAATTAAAAAAAAAATTAATAAGTAAAGAGTAAAAATTAGTTTTTGAACAACGAAATTCAATTTTAATTGTATTAAATCAAATTTAATAATATTGTTTAAATTCCAATACATACATACCCAAGAGGCCAAGATAATACCCTTCACGAGAATAGTCCTTAAGTACTAACCTCAAGAGCCTTCAAAAAAAAAGTACTAACCTCAAGAATGAATGATAATGATAATGATAATGATAATAATGATAATAATGATAATAATAATAATAATAATAGAGGAGTGGGGGCCCAAATTGTATCTCGGCTTCCCTATTGTAAGTTGTATGACTTTTGTTTTTGAGATATAATAATAATAATAATAATAATAATAATAAAAACAAAAAAATAATAATAATAATAATATTATTATTATAGGACGACGAGTATAATATATTTAATGATATATTATACAATTCTGAAATTCAATAATTCTAATAAAGTGTGAGAAGATTGTTCGTAATTTCCCCCATATTTTACTTTTTTTTTAAAAAAAAAGTCTTATGAAGTTTCTGTCAAAAGAATTTCGTAATAAAGTTGACTTTTTAGAATTACTCCGTATTTGCATACCACGCTACTATACATTGGTTTCTTGCTTTCTTATCAGAATACGTAAAATGTTAATAATACAAAGAGTTAATATTTGAAAGAAAATACTTACCGTGAAAATAAAGTTGTAACCCAAGCTTAAAATAGTTTTCAAAAAATCAAGTCTTTCCCACAATATCTCCAAATACATAGGGGTCATGAACCCTGCCTCATTAGCCATCTCAGACGATTGCTTACTCTTAAGAAAATAACAATGGCAGATCAATTTCCGGCATCGATTATACGCCTTCTCATCCATGGCTATGGCTAGCAAATGATCGAGTAGCGGGGCAGTATTATTTCCAATTTTGAAACTCTCTAAGAAGATATCAAACATGGAGTTTGGTGCTACCCATGCCTCGTTCAAAGATGTTAAGATTACTGTTTTGTCCTTTGTTGAAGCCGCTTCTAGAACCTTCCTCAACTCATAATACTCATCTATAACCTTCATTTACAACAAGTCCATAGCTTTAAAATTAATTCAAGTCATGAGTTTAATTTTAATTAAGTTTTAACCTACATCAAATAAAATGTATTATAAATTTTACCATACAATATAACATTGAATGTGTTCATTACATTATCAAAATAGTCAATGTTATTGAATTGACTAGTTAAATATATATAACTTTGTAGATTAACTTCATATATTGAATTGACTCTATATATTTCTAGGTAAAAGCTAATGAGCATCCCCAAGGCGTTAGATAAGAGAATTAAAAGTGGAAATATTATTGTAAAACTAACATTAATTACACCAAAAGACTCGTGATTTTATCATGCATTTCTAACTTAATACTGTTGTACTATTTTAACTAATAAAATTATTATTCCTTATCTAACGTTTCAGGACGCTCGTTAATAAGATCCATATTTCTATAACTATATTAATCTCCTTTTAATTTTAACATAATATTGCCGGGAATAATTTTACTACATACTAGGAATTAAATATTTTGCTATATTATTTTAACGAGGGCATTTTGTGAAAAACTACATTATAAAGCATTTTTTTTTGCGAAAAACTACCTAATAAAAAAATGTTGTAAGAAACTACCTTATAAAAGGGTAAATGTTGTAAGAGACTACCATTTGTCGGAAAGTCACCGTTGACTTTCGTTTTTCGACATTGACCACATCACTAGCCAATTACATGACTTTTAATTCATCCTTTCCCTCCTTTTTTCTTAATTAGCACAAAAAATTTTATAAGATAGTTTTTTCACAAAATGTCCTTTTAACAAAGAACTAGAAAACAATAAAAATCCAAGTAAAAGAAAAACAAAACAAAAACAAAACAAAACAAAACAAAGAGCTCACCGTGCCATTGATATCATATTGTGTAAAAGAGAAGCGCCCCAAACTTGGTAAAAACTGCCCATAATTGTTACTTGAAGAATAGAACAAAACAAGAAATGCAACTCCAAACGTCGAAAAAACCACTAAACTCGTTAAAACTCTTCCAAAAACAAATGGCAATGTTCGTAATGAATAATTATAATTCATAGTCGTCGTAATTACTCCCACAAATGGACTGCCCTCGTCGCTTTTTTCCTCCATAAATCTCCTTGCATCAAGTATATATAAAACCAGTAGTTTAATTTGCTTAGCTAAACAATGCGATTAATTGGAATATATCACATAATTAATATGTTTATAAATGGTTTATTTGAGTAAATTATACGAAGTAGAAGCTAGCTAGGTAGGAAATAAAGTTGAGATTAAGTTGATGAACATATATATTCTAATGTAGGAGGGGCTTCAATATTTTACAATGTAACGTCATATGTATGAACAATATACAGATCTTAGCTGTATATGAAATGGTCAAGTATAAAATATTGGTAGCCACTTGTGATCCAGTACGAGTTTTAATTTAGTCTTAAATTAAATCGATTTCTAGACAAATTTAATTGTTCAAATGTATAAATAAAGTGTGGAAGAATATAATATACTCGTTTTATACATCAAGGTATATTCTTCAACTATTTCAATATTATACTCTGCATGCATGTGTAGCATTCTGGCAGAAGGGCAAGTACAGTTGTCATGCAATTTTCAACTATTTCAAATAATGATATCAACGAAATAATTTTGAAGCTAAGTGTTGAGAATTTTACCTTGCAAATCCCTAATTTGTAAAATGACCCGTCATACAAACCACTAATAGTCTAAAGCATAGTGATTATATTTATTACTTGTAATTCGCATGTGTATAATCTTATTAATTATGAAGTATTTTATGAGTACATCAAATCATATTAAAAATCAAAGCAGCGTCTTTATAATGTTATTAATTTTTACCCTTTTAGAGTAAGTCAACTGACAAAAAACTATATCTAAATCTAATGGAATGGAAATTTTGTATCACATATGTTGATTTGTATAACAAAAATACTTACATGGATTCTTATTAAATTTTGTAGGACATGTATACTGAAAATCAAGGTTGACCTACAGGTTGGAGACCCTCCTGATCTCCTTCCACCACTGCAAGAGGAGCTCGATTCACACCCCAAATAAGTGGGATTCCTATTTTTTTTTTCCCTACTTGTAAGGTGAATTCTCCTTACCCTCAATAAAATGTACCTTATGTTATTTATTTCTACCCCTAATTTAAACACTCACAGATGAATAAGTCTAATTGCCAAGTTGCCAACGACTTGCGCACAATTGCACAAAGGAAGGAGAGTCAGTTGGCCTGGCAATCTGTCACATTATACTAATCAAAAGACCAAAATTAAAATAATGTTAAAGAAGGTTGAAATACTAATAATATAAAACAATATGTTAATGGATTTCTTAAAGCTTCAGGTTGGAAAGCCAATTCGAGGATTAAATTTATTAAATTAAAGTGTAATGATTATTTATTTTCTAGGAAACTTTCATTGGCCAGGCCAGAGATTGTTAAATGGCTAAATAAATAAGTCAATGATGTAAACATTATAATAACATACATATGTACTTTAAACTATTGATCAACCAACTTGCAAGATCACAAAAAAAATTTACACAGTCTTAAATATTAGAGAAGAACCACAATTTTTTATTTATTTTTTTATTTTATTTTTTTTTGGGAATTCTCTTTGGTAATCTTGTATATTTAAATTTAATAGCTTCTAGCATCAATGAATATTTTTTACTAAAATTTTAACTATAGTTAAAGTTGTTTAGTTAAATTAATTATTTTTTAATAATAAAATTAAAAAAAACCCAAACTCCTCCCCTAGTGTCACAGTCCGAGTGATTCAACACCATATCGTGCGGCGCGCTCTCGTCTTTTGGCGACAAGGGCGCAAGCCTAAAGCAAGGAGGTTCGTGAGCACACAGCAACACGGACCTACGGTGTCTCAAGAGGGCACACGAGAACAACGAGTGCGGAGTCGGGGCTTGTGACGGCCGATACTTCGAAGCGGGCACAAGCGGAACTGACGAAAATGAGGACGTCTCTAGGGTCTCTTGGTTTGGTGGGGGATGCTTTAAAACAAGGCAAGCACAATATCTATAAAGGCTTAAACAACACACAAGTCTTAAAGCAATAACAACGGGGTAGAGAGCTTTGATTGAATAACCATTCGCTCCCTAAAGAGATTTATATTGCATTAGTAGAGAATTACAAGTGAACGTTGAAATGACAGTAACACAATAATTCTCCCTAGGGTCTAGAAAAATAAAAAGAAAGACTAAAGAGACATTACATAAGGAAAATACAAGGAAAATAAAGAAGAATACATAACAAAGAGGTTGGATTCTAACATCCTCCCCCACTTAAGTCGTCGACGTCCTCGTCGACTTACAAAATCTACACTAAGATCTTAGCAGCTTCAGTCTTCTGTTGTAGGGGTGGCTCTTGTCCTGGTTCTGATGTTGGCGCGGTAGCTGACGTTGCGGTTGCTGTCGTTGGGATCTGGATGGTAGGGTTTTAGACGACTAACGTGGAAGACGGGGTGAATCCTCATCCACGCAGGCGGTTCTACCTTGTATGCGTTCTTCCCAATCCGTTTAGTGATGCGGATGGGGCCTTCATATTTCCGAATGAGGCGACGATATCTCCCTCTGAGAAACTTCAGCTGTTCTGGTAAGACCTTCACCATCACCATGTCCCCAATAGCAAAATCAACTGGCCTTCTGTTTTGATCAGCCCATTTCTTCATCCGGCGCGATGCTCGCTCTAGGTAGGCTTTCGCAATGTCGGTGTTTTGCTTCCACTCTCTTGTAAAATCTCGAGCCTGAGCACTCCTACCGCCCTCCTAGTCAGCCACTGTGTGCGGGAGGAGAGGTTGTTGACCCATGACCAACTCAAAGGGGCTTTTGTTGGAAGAAGAACTCCTTTGAGCGTTGAAGAAAAGTTGTGCGACGTCCAAAAGTCTCACCCAATCTTTCTGGTTGGCGCTCACAAAGTGACGTAAGTATTCCTCGAGAAGCCCATTGAATCTCTCTGTCTGCCCATCAGATTGAGGGGTGGTGGCTTGACGACATGTTGAGGTCAGACCCCATCATTTGGAATAGCTCAGACCAGAATATGCTCGTGAATCTGGTATCCCTGTCGCTTACTATGCTCTTTGGCAATCCCCAGTACTTCACAATATGCTTAAAGAAGAGCGATGTCGTTTCTTCTGCTCCACAAGCCTTCTGCAAGGGTACAAACGTTGCGTATTTTGAGAGCCTGTCTATCACCACCATGATAGAAGAGAACTGGTCAACCTTCGGGAGGCCACTAATGAAGTCCATCGACACACTCTCCCACGGTCGAGTTGGTACAGGAAGAGGTTCAAGGAGGCCCCCGGGCTTCTGTCTGTCAACCTTGTCTTGCTGGCACACAAGGCAGGTTTTGGTGTAGCTCATCACATCTTCCTTCATTCCTGGCCAGTAGTACCCCATCGCGAGTAGACTGAGGGTTCTCTGCCAACCTGGATGTCCCGCCCACAGCGTATCATGGCATTCCTTCAACAACATTTTCCTCAATCCCCCTGCTTTGGGGATGAACAGCTTTGTACCTTTGGTGAAGATGAGGCCATCTTCCAACCAAAAGCGTCTAGTCTTCCCTTCTTCAATCATCCTTGTTATGGTTTTTGTCATCGGATCATCTGGGAGATAAGCACGAACTTGATCTCTAACGGATGTGGCAATGCTGCTTGCAGTCATTGGCGCTAACTTGTACATCGCAGCAAGATAGGCCCGCCTACTCAGGGCATCGACAACTCTATTGCTGGATCCCGTTCTATAGGTGAACTCCACGTCGAACTCAGCTAAGTCCTCCTGCCACCGAGCTTGTTTTCCTGTCAGTTTGGGTTGGGTGAGAAAGTGACTCGCCGCGGTGTTGTCTGTGCGGACGGTAAACTTTGACCCCAACAAGTAGTGCCTCCATCCTCTTAGGCAGTGCACAATGGCTAGTAGCTCATTTTCTTGTGCCGCATACCTTCTCTCCGCATTATTCAGCTTCCTACTTTCGAATGCAATAGGATGTCCTTCTTGGAGGAGCACTCCTCCTAAAGCAAAACCCGAAGCATCCGTCTCGACCACGAATGGCTTGGTGATGTCTAGAAGGGCAAGGACCGGCTCCTTCACCATTGCTTCTTTCAACTTCTGGAAAGCTTCCTTCTGGGGCCCTGACCATTCCCAATGACAATCTTTCCTCAATAGGTCGGTGAGGGGACTTGCGATCTCTGAGTATCCCTTAATGAATCTTCTATAATAGTTCGCCAGTCCTAGAAAGGATCGCAGCTCATAGGGGTTCTTGGGATCCCGCCAATCGCGAACAGCACATATCTTCTTTGGGTCCATCCTCAATCGACCCTTCCCCACAAAGTGTCCAAGAAATCCGACTTCTTCCTGCGCAAAGGCACACTTTTCTCGTTTCACAAAAAGGTGATGTTCTCTCAGCTTCTCGAAGACCAATCTTAGGTGCTCGAGGTGCTCCTCCAAAGTCTTGTTGTAGACAACGATGTCATCGAGGTACACGACCACAAACTTGTCTAAGTACTCTCGAAATACTTGGTTCATCAAAGTACAGAACGTAGCAGGTACATTCGTCAAGCCGAAGGGCATGACTAGCCATTCGTATGCCCCGTATCTCGTCACACAAGCAGTTTTTGGTTCATCTCCTTCGGCGATACGAACTTGGTGATAGCCAGACTTCAAGTCTAGCTTTGTAAAGTACACTGCATCCCCTAACTGATCGAACAAATCCGCCACCAAAGGGATAGGGTAGTGATTGCGCACCGTAACCTTATTTAATGCTCGGTAGTCGATACACAATCGAAGACTTCCATCTTGTTTTTTCTGAAAAAGCACAGGAGCCCCATAAGGAGCCTTTGATGGGCGGATGAAGCCTGCCTCAAGCAAGTCCTCCAATTGTTTCCGGAGTTCAGCCAATTCTGGGGGAGCCATGCGATAAGGGCTTCGTGCTGGGGGTTTCACCCCTGGAACCAGCTCAATCTCATGGTCCACTGTCCTTCTAGGTGGGAGAACTTTTGGTAGGTCTTTCGGGAGGAGATCCTGGAACTCTGATAGTAGCTCGGCAACTGCAGGCGGAAAGTCTCCACTTGCTTCATCTTCCTTCGTGGAAAGTGTTGCTAGGAACGTGGGCTCATTCCTCTTCAACCCCTTCTCCAATTGCATTACTGAAAGGAGGGGCCCTTTCGGCCCTTTTCCCGGATCGCAGGTTCGGAGGAGACATGGTTGCTGCCCGGGCACCAGAATAGATCTAAGATGCGGCATCGGGACTGCC